TTTTTTTTTTTTATAGAGCTCTATTTTTTTTTTTTCTCTCTCTCCTCTAATATATATTATTATATTTTATATATATATATATATATATATATATATATATATATATATATATATATATAATATATATATATATATATATATTATATATATATATATATATATATATATATATATATATATATATATATATATATATATTTAACAATGACCCGTAAACGGTTATCATATGGGTGTGAACCTTTCATAAGATTCTATCCCTTCCTCCATTTCTATGGTGCTATAATCCACGTAGGGCCTTGCCCTGCCTCACCACTTCCTTCCACTCAGAGCTAACTCATGCTTTTCCTTTCCATGCTTGGTTTCCCAGCTGTTGCAGATCTTTTTCCCCACATCATCCATCCATTCAAGCTTAGGTTTGCCTTTGAGCCGTTTTACTCTGGGGCTTTCGTGGCGCACCATTTTCACTCCTCCCTAATGTGCCCTTCTTTCCAAGTGTCCCGCCCAGGATAGACTGATTTTTAAAAAAAAAATTCTGCTACAAGCGTGGGATCCTGATATAGTCTGTACAGTTTTCTCTGTTTGGTTCGTATTCTCCATCCATATTCATCCTTTGTTGCTCCGTATATTTTCTGGATAACTTTTCTCTCCCTCCTCATGTTCAATAGGTTTTCTGTCCTTTTTGTTAGGGCCCAAGTTTTGCTTGCGTATATTGGTCTGTTTACATTTTTACATAGAGTTTTCTTTGTTTTTCTCGTAATGTTTTTACTTTTTAGTATTTTTTGACTTCTGAAGCATGCACAAGGCTCTGACAAGTAGAACCTTCATTATCGCCGATTAGTCTTGATATTAGTGCTGGTTAGTCTTGATATTATCGCTGGTTAGTCTTGATATTATGGCTGGGTAGTCTTGATATTATCGCTGGGTAGTCTTGATATTGTCGCTGGGTAGTCTTGATATTATGGCTGGGTAGTCTTGATATTATGGCTGGGTAATCTTGATATTATCGCTGGGTAGTCTTGATATTATGGCTGGGTAGTCTTAATATTATCGCTGGGTAGTCTTGATATTGTCGCTGGGTAGTCTTGATATTATGGCTGGGTAGTCTTGATATTATGGCTGGGTAGTCTTGATATTATGGCTGGGTAGTCTTGATATTATGGCTGGGTAGTCTTGATAGCATCGCAACCCACTTGCAACGCGCTCAGGTTCTAATCATGGTGGACTGTGTGTGCAGATTGGGGGGGGGGATCCTTGACCTCTGTAGGTCACTTCCTGGCGCGCCCTTCCTACAAGAACTTTACGGCTAATCCTTATATTACATTTAAACATTAACTTCACTCGCCAGTGACAATCAGGAGTCAGACGATGATGGAAGACCAGACAACAGCAACCAAAAGAAGGAGAAGCACAGAAAAGCGAAACCGGCAACGGAACAAAACAAAAAACCAGAAAAACGAAAGTCGGATAAAGATAAGCCGGTCAAGGTGAAAAAGCCGGCCAAACAGGAAAAAAGTCAAAGGTCATCGCTGATAGATCAGCCCGACGACATGGAGATGGCAGCCGAGGGGGTGCCGCTGTGCAGACTTCTCAGGGTCAACGAGGATGGATCACGTGACGTGGAGCTGACCAGACCCCAGTCGGAACCGCTCGGTATATTTTTCAGCAAAGGTCGCGAAACGAAAAAAGACGGTAAGCAGTTTTGAATGCTACAGGGATAATCTGATCCATCACGCTCATCTAAATGTTTGGGATGGGTTTGTACGGTCACTGGCTTGAAACTTAAAACACCAATGCAACTCTAAATCACCTCTTTCAATCAACTAATGATTGCTTCAAACCATCCAATCACAGCTCTAAGTCTCCCAATCATTAGATTAAATCAATAAATCAATCAATGCTTTCGATTGCCATTCATAATATTTACTAATCCAATCACAGTGGTTATTTTGCGAGTAAGAAAATAGCCTCCAAAGTTTTTCAACCTTAAATTATCCGCTCACGGTGATTTTCAGCCTTATCTTACACCCCCCTCCTCTTTTTTTTTCGGGCTGCTGGGCGGCCTCTTATATTTAAAGGGCCCAAAGTTGTGATGCGAAAAATATTAACTACCAAGTTTGAATACTAAAAGAAAAGGTGGGGGCAAGACACGTAACCGAAATATGGCATAAGTCAAGTGACGGCATTGTTTCCCCTCAGAAGACTCACCATTATTGCACCTACTTGTAAACGATAACTCTGATTTTTTTGTGCTCACAAACGCTGACCAATGGTCCACCTCCCCTACCCCCGCGTGCTCATCTCCCAGGTCTGGTGGTCAAGTCGTTCCTGGACAAACACGCCAAGAAATTATTCGCCGGAATACTCCGCGTCGGAGACGAGATCGTGGAGATCGACGAGTCTGACATCTGCCCTTTGACCCTGGACGAGGTCAAGGACATCATTCAACAGAAAGAGCGGATGGTCATCAAGCTATGCCCCCTTGAAGGAGGGGAGAGAACCATGAATCTAACAAGCTCCGGGCCACTTTAAAAATACGATTACTGTCAACGAAAAAATATTGGTTTGTTTCGTGTTTTTTTCTTTTACTAAAAAAACAAACAACAAAAAAACATTTTTTTTTTAAAGCAAAGAAAAAAAAACAACCCATCAACATATGTTTTTTGTGGCATTAGAATCACAACAGGGTGTTCGCCTGCTCTTCAGAGTCAATGATGTTTTCTTGTATCGTTAGAGAGAATGTTATGATGATAGTTGCCCCATGAATGACGTAGTGGGAGAGAGACACAGGCAATTTTATACAGCTCGATTAATTAAAATGATGATTTAATCATAAACGTGGAATGTGGACTCACTGGTTTATTTGACATGGCGCGATGGTTTGTTTGCTTGCTTGACAAGACACATAGCTTTATTTGTTTTCTTGATAAGACCCATAGCTTTGTTTGTTTTCTTGATAAGACCCATAGCTTTATTTGTTTGCTTGACAAGACACATAGCTTTGTTTGTTTTCTTGATAAGACACATAGCTTTGTTTAATCGCTTGACAAGACCCATAGCTTTGTTTGTTCACTTGACAAGACCCATAGCTTTGTTTGTTTGCTTGACAAGACCCATAGCTTTGTTTAATCGCTTGACAAGACCTATAGCTTTGTTTGTTCGCTTGATAAGACCCATAGCTTTGTTTGTTCGCTTGACAAGACCCATAGCTTTGTTTGTTTGCTTGACAAGACCCATAGCTTTGTTTGTTTTCTTGATAAGACCCATAGCTTTGTTTGTTTTCTTGATAAGACCCTTAGCTTTGTTTAATCGCTTGACAAGACCCATAGCTTTGTTTGTTCGCTTGATAAGACCCATAGCTTTGTTTAATCACTTGACAAGACCCATAGCTTTGTTTGTTCGCTTGATAAGACCCATAGCTTTGTTTGTTCGATTGACAAGACCCATAGCTTTGTTTGTTCGCTTGATAAGACCCATAGCTTTGTTTAATGGCTTGACAAGACCCATAGCTTTGTTTGTTTGCTTGATAAGACCCATAGCTTTGTTTGTTTGCTTGACAAGACCCATATCTTTGTTGTTTTGCTTGACAAGACCCATATCTTTGTTTGTTCGCTTGACAAGACCCATAGCTTTGTTTGTTTGCTTGACCAGATCCATAGCCTTGTTTGTTTGCTTGACAAGACCCATAGCTTTGTTTGTTTGCTTGACAAGACCCATAGCTTTGTTTGTTTGCTTGATAAGACCCATAGCTTTGTTTGTTTGCTTGACAAGACCCATAGCTTTGTTTTTTTGCTTGACAAGACCCATAGCTTTGTTTGTTCGCTTGACAAGACCCATATCTTTATTTGTTTGCTTGACAAGACCCATAGCTTTTTTGTTTGCTTGACAAGACCCATAGCTTTGTTTGTTTGCTTGACAAGACCCATAGCTTTGTTTGTTTGCTTGACAAGACCCATAGCTTTGTATGTTCACTTGTTAAGACCCCTAGCTTTGTTTGTTTGCTTGATAAATGTTTGTTTGGTTGTCATGTCCCTTAGCTTTGTTTTTTTGCTTGACAAGTCCCATAGTTTTGTTTTTTCGCTTGACAGTACTCATATCTTTATTTGTTTCCTTGCCAAGACCGATGGCTTTTTTGTTTGCTTGACAAGACCCATAGCTTTGTTTGTTTGCTTGACAAGACCCATAGCTTTGTTTGTTTGCTTGACAAGACCCATAGCTTTGTTTGTTCACTTGATAAGACCCCTAGCTTTGTTTGTTTGCTTGATAAGACCCCTAGCTTTGTTTGTTTGTTATGGCGGAAGGCAAGGATATCATTAGTGATATTAATATCATTTCTTTTTAAATAGAACGGTCTTAGACCAATTAAAAAAGAATCGTATACACCATTTGGCAAAATCTAGTAATTGCAGACAGATGACCAGCTTGTGGGGAACTAGTTCATGGTTATGGTTGCTCAAAGGCGATAGGGGGGCTTCTATCAAAGGTCAAACTGTGCAACGACGTGAAGACACCATGTTTCACCCCTGTCGTGCTATTCAAGCCATGATAGATGTAAATAATGATGCGAGAACATTGAACGCTCTCAAATGTGTGTCTGTATTACATATTTTAAACATGCGATATGTTTTTTTCATTCCTCCTGTGTTTATTAGTTTTGTTACAAGTTTTAGTACACATTTTTGATATGTTAAAAAATTTATAGGATTTAAGTAAGATAAATTTAATCATTTCACATTTGAAGTTATTATGTCCATATTTTTGTGTAATCTAACAGTTCTTCTATAAACACATGTGGCTCAGTTTCGGCCCTTGTGTTCAACAAAGTTCAATAAACAGACTTGATCACTACTCAGTCTTTCCTCCATCCCATGTATCCCCCACCCTGTTGTGCCCATGACAGCACCCCTTTCCACAACTACACAGGTTTCTAGACTCTTAAAACATATCGTTTATTTATTTATTTATTTATTTAGGCATTTTTATATAGCGCTTATCATAAAGCTCTAAGCGCTTTACAGTTATTAAAACATGTAAACTAAGTAAATACAAATGGGACACTAGGATAGTAACTACTATTCTATAGAAACAATGAAAATGGCTATAAAAAGAGGACACTTTGACACTTCAGGATTAAACCGAAACAGAAAATTAGGTAGGGCAAGGAGGGTGCATCACAGGTCATAGGCGGACCGTTTCATATCGTTTCACTAGTCGATTGCCACATCAAGTGTTCTAGATTGTAGAATCAGTCAGATTTACTCTGGTCGAAACAGAATTTAGCAAGCAACTTGAGACATTCATAATTTTTTTAACAATGCATTTGGAAATGTCAGCAATTAAGAGAACGACTAGGTCTAAGTGCCAAATTAGCTGACAAGACACAAGCGCAATCTTGGAAACTCCATTAAATTTACAAAGATATAATGATGCTTACAACTACAACTATCGATCAATCTAACCACACCTCGAAAGCTTATATCAAACATGTTTCATATTCTAAAACATTTAAAAACAAACAACAAACAAACAAAAACAAGTGAAACAACAAAAGAAGCAAAAAAAAAAAAGTCAAGCAAAAAATCCAACACCAACAAATAAGACCATAGATCCCTCTCCTTAACTCCCCGCCCCCCCCCCCTAACTTTTTAAAATTCCCCGTTCCCCCCCCCCC